GGGGAGGGGTCTGACATGATGTCAAGGGGTGGGGTAGGTGTGTCCCAGGGAAGAGAGAGAGAGAGAGAGAGAGGACAAGGACGCATTCTAAGGAAAGCACGACATCATTGCAAATAAATCTTATCTAGTCTTTTCATCTAAACAGAGATCTTTTATTCAAACTTAATCCAAGGATATAAAATAGAGTAGAGATCATAATAAACATTTGTTAAAACAATAAATATCAAATGAGTATGAACAAGTAATTCTGAAGCGTAGTCAGGGTGGTGGCTATGGGGGCTAAACCCCCGGTCCCCTCCCCCTGGACCAGTGAAATCTATGGATTTCAGGGAGTTTGCAGGCCCCAACGGGTGCTGAGCCCCTGGAAAGAAAAAACATGTAAGCCCCCCCCCCTGGACAAATTCCTTTCTACGCACCTGAAAAGTAAATCCCAGATACATTTTATTTACGTAGCATAACTATATCTTATATACCCAAAAAATACAAATTATTAAAAAAAGATTGTGTAAAAAATACACAAAAAGTAAATTTTTACCTAAACGAATTTCCAAAAAAATTATCTCGAGGTTTTGGTGGATATTGGTGGATTGTCCTATATCCACGTCAATGTCCTTGTTATCACCATGTTGTGTCCCAAGGACTGTCCTTCACAATGCTAATCGTGTGTTTATCCACGTTCTTGTTATCCCCCATTGCAAACCAAGATGTGCATGCTCTCACGCAAAAATCGAGCAGTATTTTGCCAATTACTCCTTTTAAACTTAAGCAAAAAACAAGCACGTTGCATTTATAAAATGTAAATGTTAGGATAAAAAAATACAAGTATAGTTGGCAAGGTAAAACCGCAAGCCAAACCATTTTAAGCCGAGACAATCTAACAGTTTAATGAATAACTTCCAAAGTTGTGAATATCTCAGTGCCCCACGATACGTTGTATCCCAAGGGAAAGAGAAGTGTGTTCACGACATACAATTGCCCTCACTCAAACTGGTAGAGTTAGAAGTACAGCTAGAGAATTCCGCTTTGCCCCCCTGGGGGTCTGGATAATCTCTATAAATAAGGGTCTGTATTCCCAGCGATCATAATATTTTAAGCAGCTGATTACTCGCATCAAGGTCAAATTTTCTAATTCCTTTATGTTTGCAAGCTGATAGTGTAAACCTTTTAATATTTCAAACGTTTACTATTTGATCTAAAAGATCTCTTAGTTTGAAAAATCACTTTCTTCGAAATGCAGGGGCGGTTCCACCTCTTTGAAAAGGGGGGGGGTCAAACTCCCAACAAAATGGGTAGGAGCACCGAGCGAAAGTTGTGAGCTAGGAGGGGGTGCAGTGTTATTTGTAAAACCAACTTAGAACTGTACTTACAAATTTTTCACTTAGGCATCTCAGGCAAGAAAAATAAAATTTTTCTGAAATCATTTTACAGACTCATAATTGTATTCTACTTGGAAAACCGGAGTTCTAAATAATTTACAGAGTTCAAATGTTTTTTAATTGGTCAAGCTATGCTCAAAAAATAAGTTTTTTTCTGTGACGACATTTTTTTCGTAGCCAAAAAAATGTTGTTTTTTTGCTTTAAGTCGATTTTTAATATATATTCTGTAATTTGATTTGAATTCCGGAGAACAACCCAGTTTAAAAATACAAATATATTGAATATTGAATTATTTGTTCAAAATTTTCATCTTTATTTGTGTTTTATACATTTTTAATCATTACAACCCATTTCAAGGAGCCGTTTCTGATTTTTGAAAAAAATGTATTTCTGAAACATGTCAATTAGAATTCCAAATAGAATAAAATTTTACTCCTAGAAATTATTTCAGAAAAATTACACAAAATTTCACACTCCTGCTATTGAAGTTTTCGTTTTTTTTTGTCGCTGTAATGTCACTAACTAAAATCATAATAAATTATAAGTGCGAGAGTAGTTCATAAATCAATTTTTTTCAATCTAATTAAATTCATGTCTATCAATTTCCCTGGAAAATTTCAAAAACATTTGGCCTGATCGGTTCGGTCATTTTGGCCTTTATTGGATTCAAACAAAAAAAACTTCAGACAAGCCAAATATATATATTATATATATAAAAATATTGCGTCAAATAAATTCCTCTTGACAACTACGTAATAACTTTCATTAAGTTCTTAAGCTGTACTTTAATTAGTTAACTAACTCAAGTTATTTTCATATGCTCCTCGAATTGAATTTGGTGTGTTTGATCTCGTTTCAAGATTATTTTGAAATTTAAGATTATTATTTATTCTTTATCTCAATTCACAATAATTATAACATAAAAGAAAAAGTATTTAATCTTAAAACTAAAACTTTATAAAAATGGCAAAGCTAAATATTGGTCCATTTATTTTAAAATGAAACTATTCCAAGTATAATTGTTCAATAATTTTTCACACCAAATCTTTATTTGATTTCTTTCATGATAAAAATTTTCCATCATTTTATCTAAACTTTCAGTGTTGGAGAGGACAAGGACGCATTCTAAGGAAAGCACGACATAGTCCAGGGTAATGACTTTTTATATTTACTGTTTTGTAAAAGTCCTCGGATTGCAATCGTATCCTTGTGCAAATACTACTCTTTGTAATATTTTTGCAAAGATTAATCTTAAAATTGTGTTTCAAGAAAATTAAGAATTAATCTGAGATTCACTTTTTCTTCTGTTCAGATTTAGGCAAGTTTTCAGATTTATCACCCCCCCCCCTCCTAGATTCTTGGGGACACAAACATCCCCGTTTAGTAACTTGATCTCCATTCTCCATGTCCATAATTACCATTAAAAGGAAAAATGAAAAATATTTTAGATAATCTTACTCAATCAACTTTAACAAAGTAACATAGATAAAGGAATTGAGTCTTTGCCACAAAATCAAATTTTCTAATGCCAATATCTTTGCAACCAGAAGAGGTAAACCTTTGATATTTCAAACTTAGATCATTTGATTTAACAAAATCAATAGTTATCTAAGGTCTATGACATTGGGTTGTTAAGATGTAGCGATTAGAAAATCAAAGNGGACGTTTACATGACTTTGTCACCTTTTTTAATATTACAAAGGGGGAGCTAAGTTCAAAGTGGGGGTTGAGCTCCCTCTTAAATTCATGGATTTCACTTCTTCAGGGGGGAGAGTGGCTCAGCCCTCACCCCCTGGATGTAAGTTTTCCAAAATTAGTTTATTAGAATATCTTTCTCCAAAAAGGTTTTATTGAGGGGAGGAAGGCCAGCCACAACTCTTTCTCTTCCGAGCCACATTCTCCTCATTTTATCGTCCGAGCCACCTCGGAATCCTCGTTCTTCGATTTTTATGTTTCTGAAAGTTTCCAATTCTCGAAGATAAAACTATTTTTTTAGATTTGGCCACGTTAGGGCATAAAATATGGATGTACTAAAGTATTGCAAATGATTACATCATGTTAGAATCTTCAAACCCATGAGAATGATGTCAAACTTTATTTAGGTAAAGCTTCCCAAGAATTTATGAGATATTAGTCCACTTATATACCAAAAAAGCGCGTTTTTGATATTTTACCATTTTCCAGTTAGTATCGGAATTAGTATATAATCAGTCTAAATGTTAACCCTGAGACCAAGCTATTATACTTTAAGTTGAGATCTATTTTATCTTGTCAAAGGCGTGATATTATCGGACTCATAGTCCTGGTCGAGTCCACACCTTCTCAACTTAGTCTCAGAAGGGTCTCAGAACAGTCTCAGAATGGTCTCAAAATGATCTCAAAATGGTCTCAAAACTGTCTCAGAAGCCTCTTCTGAGACCATTTCAAGACCGATCTGAGCAGGTTATTAACAGTCTCAGGAGACTGATTTAAGACCGCTTTAAAACCTTTATAATACAGTTGTGAAAGAGCGCTCAAATAGGCATAAAATAAACCTATGGAATGGGATAAAATAGAAATATTTTGGTTGCAAATAAAAAAATCTTTATTCAAAAACAGGAAACAAAAATACAAAATTACACATTTTTTATACATGCCATAAATAAATACAGTTTAGATAGATTACTTGGTTTAGTTAAATACTTGAACTAATTATAATAAAGATAATTCAATATTTGAGTTTTCAAACTATGGATTGCCAACCATAGATAAATAAATAAACATAGATAGCTTATGTACGCAAAATCACCATGAATTGTACAGTCCGTGAACTTATACTTCTAGGAGTCAAAGTGTACTTCAATGATAAGCGGGGTGGTTTGGTGTTTTAATGGATTTCATAATAGAGTGTTAAATAACTCCGGGAATGGAAATATTTGAACAATATTTCACTGAGCAATATATCATATTGACGAGAACTGAAGAAGGACATGAGAAGGACTAAACTAACTTAAATTTCTCTCTATATCTTTCAAGATGAAAAATGTCGTCTTATGCGCAATCTATCTTTATCTATGTTGCCAACTCTATAAATCAAAGATTGACAGGGTCTATTGTAAATGTACTTCATTCAATCACAATTATCTAACTATCTACAAACTTTTAGTTTTTAGATGGTATGCAGACTACATTTTGAAGGCTCAAACTCTTTATGAATACATTTTAGGCTATTTATTAATAATTGAAAATCAAAAACAATTTTTAGTTTTTTAGTAATTTCTATGTTTTCAGGTATAAAGTTCTCTAAACAAAAACAAAAAAATATGCAAACTATGACAAATTATATATTTTAGAAAGCCCTCAAGACAAAGTAAATTTAACTATGTAAAACGATTTGCCAAAATTTAACTAAAATGTTTAACAGAGAACAAATAAAAACGTGCTAATTCTGTTTAAAGGCGTGTGTGTACGAATCACGTGGATTTAAAGGTTCTGTCAATATTCCAGAAAGCTGTGACTTTCGATCCCAATTTGACCCATTAAACATAATTTGTTAGCCTTTTTTATTAAATATTTTTTTTGTTGGCATATGCATTTTGAATGAAAAAGTATAACATAAACAAATCCGTAAAGTAAATGATTATTGAATCAAAGACCAAAACACGTTTGATTTCAAATATAAGAAACCGAACACTGCTCACTCTGGTTAGTCCGGTGTGGAATGTGCATAATATTTCTTTGCACAATCTCCTTGCCTTTTGTCATACCCATTCTAAAGAGATAGATGTTACAACCCGATGATCAGAAGAGGTCTAAAAATAGATTTAGTTCGTAGGAAAGTAGAAAATTGGACCAGTTTTAGAATTGTAAAAATGTCAGAGGTTAGGGGCCCCCTCATTAGACACATTTTGTGTATTTTAGATAATTTTTTCTAGATTTCTTTCCACAGAAAAGTCTAAATTCGTTAAAATTAATTCTTTGTTGAAGAAATAATAACATCTTCGCGTAGTAAGAAGCGGAAATGTCGGCTTGTGGGCATCTCGTCATTATCTTTTTTCACAGGTTTATTCGATTTTGACTGAGCTCCTCGAAGGGTGTCCTAACTTCATCCAGCAGTGATGGTTTGCTTTTCTGAAAAACATAAATGATCAAAACATGATTAAGCTCATTCATCTCATAGAATGCAAAAAGAATCAATTGAATTAGGAAATTCAATCAACTTTACCTTTGCTACTGGTGCAAAAATTTCAGGAAGTGTTTGGTCATTTTCCCTTGTCCCACTTCTTTCCTGAAACATGAAATATATTTACATTGTATAACATTATATTTATAGTGGATAGTTTCTGCATACATTAAATGGAACCATGTAACCTATTTTAAAAATTGTACATACACCATCTTTAAAGCTGTACTATCTTGCACTATGCACAATGGGCATTACGTATAATTAGGGATACGCCTTGTTTGCAAACAAAAATTTCTACAAAATCCTTTACTGTTTTGAAAATTTGTTTTTTGTTTTAAAAAACCTCATTATTTTGGAAAACAACATAATTTGGATGATTTAAAAACTGTATGTAACTACCTCTGGGACAGCCTGCTCTTTCGTCTTTGCCTTTGTCTTTCCAACTCGACCCAAAATTAATTAATTCATTTTTTATTAAAATAAATTCGGATGAAAATGGCATTTAAAAGTTAAAACAAGAAAGTAAGAATTTTTTAAATGAATAAATGAATGCAATAGAATAGTTTGAATGAATAAAATTTTACCACATTGGTAAGTCTATAAGCTGTGTTCTTGAATAGAGTTAGCATGCTGTCCTTAGCTTTTTTCTATGAGCTTCTTTCCCACTTTCAAACAAACATGATACTATGTCTTAAACAAAATGAAATTTATCCAGTTGAAAATGGTAGCTAACTTGTCTTTCAATTCACTAATCTTTAAAATATTTGAATTATTTTACTCACCATTAAACAAGGACAGCACTTTTGAATATGTGGTCAATCCAAACATTTGTCCCAGTAAAACACAGCTTAGTCATCAGCTTTTCCGTAGAATTTACATAACAATTTACATAAGTTTATTTCAAATTTTCACAAAGAAACTGAGTTTTTGCCACAAACTCTAATTTTCTAATCCCTATATCTTTGCAACCCAAGAACTCAGTTCTTTTAACTAAAAATTCAACAACAATGCAATAATGTTTACCTTTGCAAATAGTCGACCTACATCTGCAGAACTTGCAGTTGTATCGAGCTGACTTATCATCCAAGTGAGCTAGAAAAAAAACAAATATGTTTTTTTAAGTACAGGCTCAATTTATAGTTAAAAATCAAGGAGTTATTAAAGATAAGTTGAGGAATTACCCCCCCCCCCCTCCTTCTAACACTTATTTAACCATTTTTTAAAGGAAGTGAGTGGTTTTGCATAGTTTTAATTCCATCTCTCTTAGTCTTTTAGAATTGAAATCACAGTGAGGATTCCAGAAAACTGTAGAATAAAAAGACAACTTTTTGGCTTAGTTATAATTTTAGCCCTATAAACATGAGACACAGTAATTGGGAACTGTGCACTGTGTAGTGTGCGAAGACTTTTAAGTGACTTAAAGTCGTTTCCTTTCTTAAAGTTTTCTGGTTCTCGCTTTACATAGTGTTAACTTTCCACTTGAGTCACACTCTTTGAAGAACTTGAGGGAATTTTTTGGAACTGATACAGTTGAACGTTGCTTCAATTTATTGAGTAATGTTATCTAAAATTATGATAAAAATTAATCTTTTCTTAGAACTTAGAGTCAAATACTCACTCGATTATACTCCAAGTTAGTTTGGATTTGCTCTAGCTAAAGTGGTCCCTTGATCATCTAGCTTTCTTGAGAAATGCACTAGAGCATTCACAATGAAGGATAAGGTTTCTTGTGTATTTGAACAATCTTGTTCTGTTATATTGCTGAAATACATATATATATATCAATAAAAAGTTTTATCATCTTGTTTAACTACAGTTAGACCCATAAAATTGTAAAATGTTAACACAAAATTTAAGCAATCTTATGTGTAATTAATGTTTTTTTAGAGCAAATAGTTCTACCAATGTAGCTTAAAAATCTATTTCTAAAGTGAAATGAATATCAATACATTGCACAATGCTCATTGGACTATTTACAAAGTCGTCTTCTTATTCCACCTGTAAATTTAAGGTTATCAATCGTTTTTAAAAAAGAATTGATAAAAATGATTTTTCGTTTAGTTTTTGATTCTTTAAAATTAAATAAATTGTTAGTTCTGAACTTTTGAAAACGAAAAACCAAGCAATGATATTGCTTTTTTAACTGAAAAAAAAACATTGTTTTAGTAAATTTGTTTCTAATGAAATTTTATTTTTTTTAGAATCTAATTAGGTTACCCGCCAAGGATGAGACATTAATGACAATCGGCCTTGAATATTGTATTTAAGGGTGAACTAAATGATTTGGCTAAAAAGTTAACAAGTTAACAAATTAAAAACTATCAACCTTCATTAAAGAAACGACAAGTAAAAAATAAAAACATCCAATTTTAAATGCCCCCCCTCTGTAGTTTTTTTTTGACAGTTTCATCGTGATATTTTGTGACTTTTAATGAAAAGTAATTTAAAGGATTTTTGGAATTTTTTTTTTTTCAATACGGTTTGATACACGGTAGAAAAAAGTTAGGTCTTTGGCGTTTTTTTCAACCCTCCCTAGAACCCAAACTATTAAAGTTATCGGTCTAATTTTTTTTCAATGAGCTGGCCTTGGCAAATTGGGCTATGCACATGCATTTTAACCCTATACCTATTCTCTAAGGCCTTTTCTAGGGGGGGCCCCAGGCTATATATAGATTCAGACCCCCCAGCCTTTACAGGGTTAATTTAAAAAAAAATTCTAATAAACTTTTTTTAAAAACGATTGTTTGGTTTTTTTACTATGTTGTTAACAAAAAGATCTGTTAATTTTTTAGAAAAGTAAAAACGTTCAATCCTTACCTGTAATCAGGGTTTGCATCTATAAAATATTCTGAATCCGACTCAAAATCAAGGTTCATATCTGGTCCCGGCTCTGGTTCCAGGTCATTTATTTGCTCTAGTTGTTGCTGTTGTTCATTCTCTATACCTAAAATTATACATTTATACTAATGGGGGG